GTATATCATTGAGGGAGTTAGCAAGATTTCAGTTCCCCAAGGCCAGGACTATTTCCCGAGGCGAAGCCTCAATGATATACTTTTAACTGTTTTATTAAACCGATACAAACGTAAAATTTAGAGGATTCAGATAGCGCGATTTCAAAGCAGGGATTAGGTCACTGAACTAACACACGGGAATTAGTCCATTCACATATCATACCAATTTTAATGTAAAACCTAGAGGATTACGGATAACCGGGAATTAGCTTTCGAAGCGGGGATTAGCTCACTTGACTAACACACGGGGATTAGTCCATTCTTTTAAAATGATTTCTAGGGAAATAGTTACATCTAGCGATCTAATGTTATATAGGGAAAAATTCAGTAGAGGTATAATAATAATCAATCAATCAACAATCCATATAAATATGACTAATCATTGCTTTGTTTTGCTCTGTTGCATTGCCTTCATCTCTTTTTGAGAAGATAATTATTAAAGAATTATATTCCTATGTAAAAATTTGATCGCTTATTGTGGCCCCAGTCTAGGCCCGGTTTGATTTGAAGATGCTTGAATCTGCGCTACCTGAGGAAACTTCCATATACGTATCACTATTCACGGGCCTACTGCTGTTCTCAGTGGTGGATCCAGACAAAAGAGGTGGTGGTTCAGAATTTTTTTTGACAAGCTAAAAAAAATTTTAAAAAGTAATTTGCATGTAAAAGTGTGTTACTGTATATGTTAAGTAAATTATTGAGATATGAAATTTTATCTGTGGACTAAATTGAGAGTATATACAAGTTAAACAAACAGAATTTACCAAAGCAGACAAGAAATTAAACCAAAGGGGGGGGGGGTGTGCCGGTCCTATATCTGTCTGGTTTGAGATTTTTAAATATTTTCTGTATATATTCCTATGTAAGACTTTAATCACAAATTGTGATCCCAACTTATTCCATGGGGTCATAATTTGAACAAAAATGATTTTGTCTTTGTTGTTATAATGACCATCTAGAGATTTTTTTTATTCGTAGACGTCACCACTTGCCGGTGGAGGGCTGCAAAGAACTGCAAACTATAGTATTGTTCTCCCTCCTACCTCCAAGTCAATTTTCAAAAGTTAACATATTTGAATGATTTTTCATATCTATATAGATATTCATATGAATTTTCATAAAACATTACGTCTTTGGGAAAACAATGAGAGATAACTCTATAATTTTGGTAAAACTTGTGATTTTCACTATAGAAATCAACGAACAAATTCCTTTTTACAGGTAATATGGACTGTCCTTTCACAAATTCATACCAAAGCTTTTTTTATTTAACGGGGGGAACATATGTTTACAGACAAAAAACTACCAAAATGGTTATTTTTTTCCCAATATCATTGGGGTTTACAACTAAAACATTGTATTTTATTAATAATATATGTTTAATTCTATATGAGTAAAACATAAGAAAAAATCTGAGGAACATTTATTTATATCCAAGAATATTTTAAAATGTGGTGATGCTTTAAAGCCCGATTTCAATGAAAAATATCGTCTACCCCCCTTATTCAAAGAGCTAGAATTAGGGGTAAATAACTATTTAACACTGGAATTAGAATTACTATTGAACTGTTCCTTGCATTCAACAAAGATTTTACGACCAAATTGTCATTAGTATTGAATTAAATGGGTGTAAAATGTAGGCGTGAATCGAGAGTTAGCGTGCGTAGTTCTTTAGATCTATGCTTGTCACTCATGGTCATTCAGCAGTTAGGGATTTTTTTCGTGCCAGCTACGCAAAATTGATCGTACGCTATAAAACGAAGCTTTCACATAAGTATCATCTCTTCTGACCCAGCACAAAATATGAAGGATTTTTTTTCTTCTAAATATTCTTTGAAAAAAATTTGATCACCTATTGTAGCCATACCTTCCCTCGAGGGACATGATCTGAATACATGTAAAACTGAATCTACACCTCATAAAGAAGCTTTCACATGAGTTTCATCATTTCTGACACAGTGGTGTTTGAGATTTTTAAAAGATGTCACTAAATTTTTACTAATCCTTAACTTCTTCCCTTGAAAGAGGGCCTGGCCCTTCATTTGAACAAACTTGAATCCCTTTTATCCACTGATGCTTTGTGGCAAGTTTGATTGAAATTAACCCAGTAGTTCTTGAGAAGAAGCTGAAATTGTGAATAGTTTACAGACAGAGGGACGGTCAGATAAAATGCGATCAGAAAAGCTCACTTGAACTCCAGCTAAGGTGATCAAAAAATGTGAACCTCAACACCAATTATATCTACCTATGATTGTATATAAGAAAAACGCAAAATTAATTTCCAAAAAAATCATTACTACTGAACAAAAAGACTAATACGTGTATTCAATCTCCCAAGTATATTTTACAAGAAAAAAGAATAGGCTGATTTATGAGATGTCTCAAGAATTACGGTATTTTGACATATCATAGTGATGTACATCAATCCTGGACACAATTTTCTGCCCAGAAAGTTTTCTCCCTAGAGTATTGTTAGAAATGGTGTTTGTCTCCCTCGAGCTCCGTGCGGGCGCCTGTGTGTGTGTGTGTTTGTAAATCTCTCTTTTCTTTCTCAAGTAAATACTAGTATTCGTCAAAACAATATATCGACGACAATATATGCCGACCTTGACTGTACATATTGTCGCCGACGACAATATGTGCTGGTGCTTGACTGTACATTTTGTCGTCCATTATGCAGGAAGAAAATAAGACTTGTCTCGGTATATATTGTCGCCGGCGACAATATATACCGATGGACGACAATATGTGCAGTGAGGGTAGGTACGTATTGTCGCCGACGACAATATGTACAAAACGACAATATGTACCGTCACAGACGTCCTTTCAGCCAATGAAAACTACAAAAATAATCTTCTTATATAATATATATTATAAATGGCGCATTTATTTTTCAACTCATTGGTAGAAACACAATGTCCCTGATAATGTTGTATAAATAATGTTGTGAAATAAATTTATTTTTTGTTAAGAACAGGCCTAATCCATTATCCTTTAAACAAGGAAATACAGAAAATTTATGGTTCCATCAATGTAAATGGTATTGTCTATATTACACACAATATCTAAGTTAATTAACATAGCATTATTTTCTTGAAAGGTGAAATTTGATGCATTTTGAAAATAATTCTTATGGAATATAAAAGACCGTAAAAGAAAGGCAGATGGTTGTCTGACGATGCCTCAGAAAAAATATGCATATCATGGAGAAAGGAACAAACAATTTGGACTGTGGATCAGAATTGGAAAAAAACCCGGATATTCAGAGATGTATGCAAGGTGATAATTTGAAATATTAACTCTATGTCCAATTAATTGTCGGAAGGCCAACGAAGTCGACCACCCCCATCTCGTGTATGAGCCATCGAGGACCGAACTCTCTGTAATGATCTGGGGGTGTGTATGTTACAAAGTTATATTAACTTTTACAAGTGAAAATTGACAATTTAACTCTGAAAAAAATATACAAGGTAGATAAATTAGAAACAATTTGTGACCTGTTATAGCTTGTTTTTTTTTTTTTTTTTTTTTTTTTTTTTTTTTTTTAAATTGAAATTGCATCTTTCAGAATGACGATTTCCCCTTACATCGGCCCATTACTCGGTGTTTTTATGAACGAAAATTAAATTATAACTACATTTTGGGCATTTCAGTCTCCAGTAAAAATTTTGGTTACAATTAGAAAGTAATCTACAGCCCGTCAAAAATATCTCAACTTGTGAACACCTGATCGCGAAAGTAACACGTTTCTGGGAAAACATAAATAGAAATCATATTGATCAGTTTTATTTAATAATGTCATCAAGACTACGAAAAGCAATAAGATTGAAGGGCAATTTCACAAAAGATTAAGGTATTTTTCTTTGTTTGTTTGTTGTTTAACATCCCGATTAAGGTATGAGAATCAGTATTAAATTCAGGAGGACAATTTTTGTTTTAATGATAACAAATCTCCGCAACCTTGAAGTTAGTGACGAATACTTATGTCCAGTGACTGTATATCAAGTATGTATTATGATTTACTTTTTACAACTAGGACTACACCTCCGTCAGAACCAGCGTCTACTTTTGATGGACCTCCAGCGTAGAAACCAGCATCAATGGATGTTATATTCGTAACCTCAAACGTAATGTTGGTAGAGTTATATGGCCGGCTGTGGTAATAGTATTTGGAATTTGGTAAATGTTCATTTTTGACGATTATGATGTTCTCAGCGTCCTTATATATGTGATATACTCCAGATTGTGGGAAAGAGCCAGCGATCCATGAAATAAACTTTGATTCTCCAATATTAGCATCAACCAGAGAAACTGTAACGGAAACCAAAGACAATAATGTGCTGACAATGGGCACTAAAATATATACCACGTATAAATAATCAGATTAATTTTTCTAACTCCCATACTAATCTATAGCATACAAAAATGCAAGGATGAAATTAAACGATCTTATTTTATTCCACATATAAATCATTATCGATACACATTACTTTTTTTGGTTAATAATGTAATAATTATTAAGCAATATTTTTCTTTCTGAGTCACATAAACACTAGCTCAGAGGCATTTCATCAATAAGGTAAAATTAAATTAATGTATTACATCAATTAAATTATACTTCAAATATGTGTTTAAAAAATTTCGACATGGAAATCACAGAATGATGTTAAAGGAGTTTATCGTTGAAAAGTATCTATCATAGTATTGCAACATTTTTAAACTTAAAGGAATAGCTTGACAACTTTTGTAAAGAAAAAAATCTTATAAGATGCTTACGTCTCAGAGTGACCATGGCAACATACCATAAGGTTTGAATTTTTTTTTTTTTTGAAAATGTTCAGAGTACTATTATAAACGTTTACATAAAGCAGAAATTTGAAACGAAGGTTTCCAAAATTTTTAGATTTGATGTCATAAGTGCATGATAAACATATTTTGTAAACCAACATTTACAAACGTTACAATGAAAAAAATATAGAAAAGTAATGATTTTATTCATTTACTTTCATAAATTCATTCTCAAACAAGATGTGTTTGTGAAACACCATGCCTCCGATGGTTTGTTTGTTTGTTTATATGTTGTTTAACGTCCCTCTCGAGAATTTTTCACTCATATGGAGACGCCACCACTTGCCGGTGGAGAGCTGCAATTTTGTCCTATACTCGGCACTTACGGCCATTGAGCAGTGAGGGATCTTTTTCGTGCCAGCACCTACTGCAACACGGGACCTCGGTTTATACGGTCTCATCCGAAGGACCGGTCTCCACGTCCCACAGTGGAATTCGAACCCGCGACGTAAGGATCAACTCCTTACTCCGCGACTCTAGAGCAAACGCTCTAACCATTGCGCCACGCGGGCGACGCCCCCGATGGTAACACAATTCTGGAGTGGGACGTAGACTACAGTGCAATAGTTATGGCCAATGTTAAAGTTTTTCAAATGTAGGTCAAAGGTCACAGTTGAGGTCACATGATCAAAAAATTTGGTACCAATGGAAAGGTCTTGTCATAATGAACACTCATGTCAAATATTAAAGCCTTACCCTTGACAGCGCAATAGTTATGGGCTAGGTTAAAGTTGACAACAAACAGACAGACAGGACAAAAACAATATACCCTCAGGATCTTTCTATCCGAGGGCATAAAAATGAAAGCAATTTTAGGTTGAAATTCAACCAAATAAAAAAAGAAAGATCCTTGTAATATATTCTAAGGAAGAATAGGGGTATTTTTAATTGGTCTTCAATGGTTGTTATAGTTTAACAACGGCAAAAATAATTCATTTTACTCTCTGTATGTTTATATTTGATCCCATTATTCAACCTGCACTTTTTAAAATAAGTTTGGGTATATTGCCGTAACCTAGGTCCGCCCGTCCCTGTGTTACATTTTCTTTTTCCTCAAACTTATCTTTTAATTATAAGTAGTAAGTAATTATTGTTTTGGAATATGATAAATGGTGTCTGTAGATATGCACCGAGTTTTTGTAATTTTCAATTTTACCATAGGGGCGAAAAAGGGGTAAAAAAAAAAGATGTTTTTTCTACAAAAACCTTATTCCCCGATATACTCGCACATTTTATGCAGTAGTCAAATTATATTTTTTAAGATGATTGCTGTTTTGCTGTAGATATGCAATAAGGTTTCGTAATTTTTATTTTTACCCTGGGGGCAAAATGGGGGTCGAAAAAAGGTGTTGTTTTCCTAAAAAAATACATTGTTCCCACAAGTCCTCTTAGATTTTATGAAAAAGATATATGATCTTTTGGACGATGATTGTTGGTGTCGTTAAGATGTCCAATAAGATTTTGGAATTTTTATTTTCACCCTACGGATTATATGGGAAACGACTTTTCTACACTTTATACAACCATTCCTTACTATAAATTAAAAAAAGTAGGCTTTTTGATATCATAGACAACAATCCAACAATCTTTTGGAATTTCAGTGGGCACTAATTGTGCTCCTTTATTATTTTTATATTCTTATGAAGCAGACTATATTTAAAACATTCTACAAGAGAAGAAGAAACACTTGCTGTAACCTCTTACTCGACATTCAGATTATCGACGACGTTTTATCAATTAACAATGGTTACTTCCATTCGTCTGTCGACTCGATATATCCCACTAGACTTGAAATAATACACACCACGGTGTCTGCCTCATCTGATTCATATTTGGATGATTTACTGACTATAGATGATAAGGTACAACTAACAGCTAAATTGTATTACAAACAGATGACTCCATTGATAACTTTCATTATCAATGTAGTAATATTCCGCTATGATCTGTATATGGTGTTTACTTCCCCCAACTTATTTGATACTCAAGAGCATGCTCTGAAAACGATCAATTTTTAAACTGAGGCAAGGTACTGACGCGCAGCTAGGCTAAGGACTCCCATATTTACATCAGCCTATGCAGAGGTTCGGGAAAACCACCATGACGTCACGTTAAAACAATGCTATTGAATTAAGATGAATAAATACAAATTTTTGTTTTTTTAAACACTCAAATACTTTCGTGTTCCATAAATAATGTTGATTAAAATATATTTGCAACTTAACTTGCCATTATAACATTAAACGATTATAAAATAAAAGCTACTTTGATCTTGAACAATTAAGACTAAAAAAAATCATCACTGATACAATATATATTATTCAGTGCAGTGAACAGCATATTAATTTTTTCATGAAAATTGTCATTCAAGGCCACTTGCAACCCCCCTCGCCTATTTTTTCTGTTGCAGTAAAGTCTAACTCTGCCCGGTTATTCCATTAAAAATTGCCGAAAAGTTAGAGAAATGGGCAAGCTAGTATTTTTTATGCTTGTCAATTTTGCCCCCCCCCCCCTTTCGAAAAACGTTGCTACGGGCCTGTGAAAATTTCATTACCGGCAGTAGAGAATATGCCAACATTGCATTAAGTTTTTAAATTTTTAAATAGCCTAGATTTATTGTTGTTCGAAAATCACAACAATATATTTATAAGTGGTACAAAAAATATAAAAACTGCTTAGTTTTGATGTCAATACACTAAATTTCACGTGGATCCTCTGTGACTGTACTTCTATTGAAAATTACATCAATTTCCCTCGTCAATGCATTATATATAACGTCATGAATTGTGTCGTTATTCCAATATTCTGAAAAATGTTTAAAAATGGCCAAATGTTTAAGCTGTTTTTTTTTTCAACATTCTTGAAGAGCACAACCTTTGATCCACAGTGTGCGATTATATAATGATAAAAATGTATCTGAAGATTGTATTTTTGAATTCTCTGCAAAATTCAAGGTAGTTGTTAATTTCACAAAACATGTTTTCATATACGTACCTGGACTCTCAAAGAAAACTTTTTTTGCAAGAAATGAAAACACAAAGTCTCTTCTTTATAATGATATATACTGTATATTGTTAATGAATATGGGGTTAGATAATTAATATGTGTACATTATATTTTATGTATAAAGTGAATCTAACATTTTGCAACTACAAAAGATAATCGTATCAATTTTGAAAATACAAATCCTTCCAAAATTGTGAATATGCCAATATTCTCTGCAAGCTTTGCATGGACATGAAAAATAATATTCTAACTCGCATTAAAGCTAGGGATGTCAATTTTGTCAATAATTCATATTCGAATATTCAATGATATATGTAGTATTCGAATATATTCGAATATTTCATATAATAAATAAAAACTGGTTGATTTTAAATATATTTATCATCCTACACTCGTCACAGGTTTTATGTCGGTATTTAAAGTAAAATTTTAAATGAAGGTGTACAATAAGTATTACTACATTTGAAACTATAATTGATAGAAATAAATACTTGATTAAAGTTCATAAAACCAGAATATATTAAAAAAATATTTCTAGAAGCTCCAACTGATGAACTAGTCGTTTACATGAGCAATATTGTCATCATTATATTGTATAGATTTAAATACATGTAATTAATTACAATTATCTGCTTAACAAGATATTTGATTGCAGTCTTTAATACAATGTTTTGTAAGTATAGAATAAACACATTAATAGACAAAATTCTTAGGTCATTAACTATTTTTCCGATAACTATTTTAGAATTTAGGAATATGCACAACCAAAGATAATGAAATAATGCAGGCATTTATTTTGAAATTTAGCGTTTAACAGTGTTACAGACTAATTCTATTAAACATGTAATTCGATGACCAATGAAATTTACTCTGGTAAGTATACCCCTCCTTTCTTTTAGATAGTGAATAATTAAGAAGAGTCTCATTCTGTTGTCCTTAATTCTAGATCTAATTGTATTAAAATATTAGAAGCTGTCAAAGTACGTTTTATTATACATTAAGAATTCTTGTATAATTGTTTTATACTTTGCTCAAAACGAAATCATTTAGTAGATCTATAAGTTAAGAAAATACAGAGAAAAAAAACAGTCGTTTTAAATTGATCGCTAGTAAATAAAACACGGATAATTCCAGCAGTTTTCTAATTAAAATTTATAATATAATTCATAGTCATCCCTTTCTTTTCTAAATCTGCATGGAAAAAGAAAAACGTTTATTCGAATTTTAAATTCATATTCGAATATCAACTGATCTAATGAATATTCGAATTTCGAATATTAGTAGACATCCCTAATTAAAGCGTATCACAATATTAAACGACCTTAATCAAATAGTCAATTGCTGATACAGCGTTTGCTCTTGTATTAATGATGTATCTATGGCCATTAACTTTTGACTCATTTAATAAGTAAATCAGTAATTAGTGTTTTGCATTCAGTTTTCAAAGTTGTCCTTTG